CATATTTTGGTTCCTTCTTGGGATGGCCCGCCCTAGTATTGTGGGCAGGAAAAGAAGCTTCACTGTGCTCAGGCTTTAGCTGGGTCCTGTGGGGGAGCACACAGGAACGTGCTCCTGCCCTTTGTTTGGACAGAAAATTGCTGATTTGAAGAAGCTAAAGGCATTTCTTGGGATTTCAGCCTTCCCGCCTCCTCCAGACTCCGCCAGCCCCCCTGAGGTCCAGCACACTCCCCTCACCTCCCCCACACACAAATTACATGTTGGTCTCTAGGCACCCTGGCTGGGCAGAGAAGTCTGGAGGAAGGGCATGCCAGCCTGTGGCTGGGCCCCTCTGCGCAAGGGAGCCTGCCTTTGTTGGGGCTGCTGCCTGGTGCTCTGAGCTGGCAACCACCGCCCTCTGGTGGCAGGAATGTGGCTGCCTCTAGGAGACAACAGGGGGCCATCCCATGGGTCACCTGGGGACCTTCCAGGCCCACCATGGGTGTCATAACTACATCCTGCTTAGCCTAGTGCATGAGTTACAAGGACGCTCGGCCGGCTGTACCCCAGTTCCCGTGGTCCCTGCCTTGGAAGTTCAGCCCCTTCCTGCTCACCCCAGTCTCTTGCCCTGATTTCTCTCTCTGTCTCCTTTATTTTCATTTATTTATTGCAGTGTTGGGGGATGGAACTGATCATGTAGACTAGTGCTCCTCACTGGGTGCCACAAGCCCAACTTTGCCATTACACTTCCCATCAGCTGTTCTACCTGCCAGCACTCCCTGCCCCTGGCCTCCAGGGGGTTTCTTATGTGACCGCCTTCACCAAGCAGGCGCACTGAGGGTGGTCGTACTACCGTGTGTTCGCGGAGCTGGCTCCTCTCATTGCTAACAGCGTCTCTGAGAGGGCTGACCCATCCCCGGGTTAGAGCATGGCCGAGCAGAGAGCAGCTAGAGCTTGCTGGGAATAGAAGTTCAGGGCCGAGGCGGAGAAAGGAGGCAGTTAACTGATCCTGGCTAGAAGGCAGGGCTCCTGGCATTTCTCCTCCTCCCACCCACCCCTCCCAGCGGGACCATAGCTGGCTGGGAACTAGGCCAGGCCCTGAGCAGGCCAGGGATTCAGAGGGGGGAAATGGGGGTGAGCTGGAGTTTCGGTCAGACCTCGGTCACCTTTGATGTTGCTCTGGTCTGACTGCCCCGGTATTTATTTGCAATTAAAGAGATGGTTCCTAATTAGGCTGGTGGCTGTGGGAGATGACAGGACCAGAGCTTTGGAACCCCAAAGAGAAAAGGCTCTTTCTACAAGACACTATCCCTGATGAGTAGAGTAGGGCCTTGTGGACTTGTGGGTACAGCCTCCCTGATCACTATTACTGAGGCACATCAGTGATTTGCCTTATGGCCAACATGTCTCCCCAAAACTGAGCTCTTGGAGGCTGTGAGCATGGAGCCACAGCTGGGCTCACTCTGGACCTTCAGTGCGCCTTCCATTCCTTTCCTAGCAGGACAGGTTGGCCCCCACAGGTGCCAGGCCAGGAACTAACTGAGGTGTTTCATGGAGTGCGGAAAGGGCTCTCCCGTCCGCTGCCCTCCTGAAGCGCCTCTGGGCGTGAGAACCCTTGCCTGGGCTGTTCCAACAGACCTGGGGCCAATAAGCAAGATGACTGGCTTTCTGCACCTGCTTAGTTCACTGCCTGAGTTTCTAGCAAATCCGCGGCGGCCTCCTGTGAGCAGAGCCTCAGAGCTGGCCTGATAAGCCTCTCACGAAGGGGGAGGAGTGACGTACATGGAGCAGCTTGCCAGCCAAGTGGCTGAAATCTTTGCCCTACGTCACTCACAGTGTTTGACTCAGTCAAGGTTCTAAGTCCTGGCCCCAGCTTTGCCACCCTCTGCCTGGTGTCCTCGGGCAAGTCACTCCATGCCACCCCATCAACCTGGGATGCCACTTCCCAGGTGTAAGGCCATCTGACTGCATTCATGGAACACACAGGTTCCTGGACCAAGTTTCTCTTAGTTCATGGTCGAAAAAAAAAGGTTAGAAAATAATCAGCCATAGGACAAACTAAAACAGAGAGAGCTCTGAGCCATCACTACCCATCCATTCCCGTGGTTTCCCCGATAGATGAGATGGTCCTGGGGAGTGCTGAAGCTGAGGAAAGGGTTGCTCGCAGAGTCGTTAAGTCCTTGCCCACCTCCCTGTGTGTGAGGTCCACGGATGCCTAAGATGTGCTTTACCTATTTCCTTTCTCTGCTTTAGTGTGTTCACAGTGTGCTAAGGATATTTGGGGGGGCAGAGAGGACTGAGAGTCCTTTGTTCGTATGTGGGGAGCAGGCCACCCCAGAGTCACTGACCCACAGCAGGCACCTGGTCCAGGCTCAGAGATGATGCTGCAGCCCAGGACGATGGTCAAAGAGGATCTTATGGGGCAGCAGGCTGGCTGCCTGCTGGAATATGGAAGCTAGTCAGCTTAATTGCCATAGGAGGTGGAGATGGTCACCCAGGGCCAGGCAGCTGGAGCTGTTCACCCCAGTCATAAGGTACCATCTCTGTGAAGAACCCTATGTCCTGTCTGGGGATCAGATGCTGAGAGAAACAGTAAGTCCCAGCTGGACTTAAGTTGCAAGACTTTCTAGAAGCTGTCAAGAACTACCCTTCCTTGCCTGTGGCCCCTGGCATGCCCCCTGCTACTGTAACCTGAACAGGGTGCTACTTGATAGCCGATAATCCCTTTCCTCAATCAGAGAGTGAGGTAAGCACCTACAGTGCTCACAGGCCCTTAGAGCAGTTGTCATTACAGAAAGGGAAACTGAGGCTTGGAGAAGGAAAGTACGGAGTTTTAAGGAAGAGCCTGCCTGACTTTTTGTCTAGAGTTCTCCACCTCTGGGTCGACCCCTTTGGTAAACCTCTATTTTCAAAAATGTTTACATTACGTTTCCTAACAGTAGCAAAGTTACAGTTATGAAGTAGCAATGAAAAAAATTTTGGAAGGGGGTTGGTGTTTTGGGGTTTTTGTTTTGCTTTGTTTCTTTGAGACGGTGTTTCCCTGTGCAGCGTTGAACTCTGTATCTGCCTGCCTCTGCCTTCCCAGTGCTGGGATTAAGGGCGTGCACCACACTTGGCTCAGCAATGAAGATGTGTTGTCGGAGGGTGGCCGCAACAGGAGGATCTATATTGTAGCCTCGCAGCATTAGGAAGGTTGAGAACCGCTCAGTGGATGGAGAGGAGCGCCCTCTAGCGTAGCTGGCTTGGGGCCTGGGTGTAGCTCAGCAGGAGAGGTCCTGCTTGGCGAGTGCAGGGCTGCCCTGCCTTTCATCACTGGCACAGCACACACAAAGGCGTGCCCTCTCCATGATGCTGGCTCCAGAATTCTGGGGTGTGCAACCTGGGATTCAGTTTCCTCACCTACGAAGGCAGTGCCTAGCTCATAGGAGGTACCCAGCAATGCCTAGTACCTTGGCTCTGCTCCTGGAATACTCAGGCTCCTGCCCTCAGCTTCCTGACCTCACTTGGCCCGGCTCGCTAGAGGAAGTCCTGCTGGCTGTGAGCAGTACCGGAAGCTCATGGCCAGTGGGCCGTTTTTCTGGCCCTCGAGTTTCCGAGGCCTGTGCCAGGTGGATGGGTACAGAGAGGGAAAGTGGCTTGGCAGGATGGAGTTCAGGATCTCGCTGATCCTGGTCTCCTGCTGTGTGCCTGAGCTATCTATGTCCACTGGCCAAGGTCAGTTAGCAGAGGATAGCCAGGCTCTCCCTGACTGCCCTCCTCACTTTTGGCTAGCTTGCGGCTGGTGTGAAGATTTGACTATCCTCAGGAGACTGAGGGCCCTACGTCTGGCTCCTGAATGACAAATGACAAAGAGCCTGTTCATAGGGTCCTTGGAAAGGTTCTTGCAGCCATCTCTGTGTGGAAAGGTGTCTCAGGGCCAGGGCTGAGACTTAGGCCTCATGGCCCCCGCAATGGCTGTTACCTGGAGTTAGGTTGGTCATTGGTCAGTTTCCCTGGGAGGAACTGGGTGAGCGTTTGGTTCAGTTCAGAAGGCTCCAGCCAGAAGTGGGCATGACAGGTCGTGTAACCTCAGTGGGAAGTCACACTGCCCACCTGTCTCTCAGAGCTCTGAGCCTAGCAAAGACAGGATGTCAGAGGCCTCAGCATGTGAGAAGTGGACCCAAGAGCAAGAGCTCTGGGGCTGCCTTCTAAGTCAGACCTGCCTGTGTCAGGCCCCACACATGACCACCCCCCGAAGTGAGTGGGTCAGTGTCTCAAGGCCATACAGTGGGGAAACTGAGGCCCAGAGAGGAGCAGGCACACATTTCAGAACAGGGCATCCACAGCCTTTGTGGAGAAACCCCACTTCCTAAAAAAAAAAAAAAAAAAAGTGCTTAGCAGCTGCCAGATAACACTGCTCTGTGGTGGTTGTGGGTCTCGGGGGACCGGAAAGTCATCCTGGTAAGGAACGCAGGAAGGCCGGGGCAGGGAGTGTCAGCAGCATTCTCGACTGCCCGGCTGCTTTAAGCCACCCTGCATCTTTTGCCTCCTGGGTACCTAGGCAGCAAGTGAATGCCACCTTGAGCAAGGCGTGGCACACAGAAGCCGGGTCTTATAAGACCTTGTAGACAGGGTCTTATACACTAGCTTGGTCGAGTGTAGGTTCTTTTTGTTTGTTGGTGTTTATCTTTCCCAGGTGTGAAACTGTGGTGGGCCAGAGCTGGATGTGGCTCATCTCTGTGTATCCCAGGGTCTAGCACATAGCGGGCATCCTGGTTTGCATACCGTAGTTCATCTCCTTATTTGGGGCACAGTGAGATGGTAAAAATGCCTGCTGCCAGGCTTGAAGACCTGAGTTTGATCCTCAGCTCTCGCGCGCACACACACAATTTCTTTTTGAGAGAGATAAATCCCCACTGTGTACTAAGTTATTGGACGGCCTGGCACACAGTGGGTGCTCAAATACTGGTCGACCTTGAAAGCGTTCCCAGCCTCCCCTCCGCACCTGCAGTAACTTTGCCATTTCCTGTGCTCGCCTGCAGATGCCAGCATGTCTCCGGATGCCACCAAGCCAAGCCACTGGTGCAGCGTGGCGTACTGGGAGCACCGGACGCGCGTGGGCCGCCTCTATGCGGTGTACGACCAAGCTGTCAGCATCTTCTACGACCTACCTCAGGGCAGCGGCTTCTGCCTGGGCCAGCTCAACCTGGAGCAGCGCAGCGAGTCGGTGCGGCGCACGCGCAGCAAGATTGGCTTTGGCATCCTGCTCAGCAAGGAGCCGGACGGCGTGTGGGCCTACAACCGGGGCGAGCACCCCATCTTCGTCAACTCGCCGACGCTGGATGCCCCCGGAGGCCGCGCCTTGGTCGTGCGCAAGGTGCCACCGGGCTACTCCATCAAAGTGTTCGACTTTGAGCGCTCAGGGCTGCTGCAGCACGCGGACGCTGCCCACGGCCCCTACGACCCGCACAGCGTGCGCATCAGCTTCGCCAAGGGCTGGGGACCCTGCTACTCCCGACAGTTCATCACTTCCTGCCCCTGTTGGCTGGAGATCCTCCTCAACAACCACAGATAGCATCGCGGCTGCCACCGCGCCGCAGCGTCCCCCAACCTCCGGCGGTCAGCTCCCAGGGACGCCACCCCAGGGACAACCTCGCCCTCCCCCAGATATCATCTACCTAGATTTAATATAAAGTTTTATATATTATATGGAAATATATATTATACTTGTATGGAGTCATTTTTACAACGTAATTATTTATATATGGTGCAATGTGTGTATATGGAGAAACAAGAAAGACGCACTTTGGCTTGTAATTCTTTCAATACAGATATATTTTTTTCTTTCTTTCCCTCTCTCCTTTTTTAAAGAGAATTATACAGCAGAACTAGGTGGAAGGCCTGGGTTTGGTGTATGGTTTTTTTTTTTTTTAAATATTAATGCCCAGACAAAAAACTAATACCATCACTCTTGATAATAAAGTGTTTGCATTGTAGCTTTTTTTTTTTTTTTAAGTTGTCTTTCTTACAAAGGGAATCCTTCAGGACTTCAGTGGGCTTTCGAGCCGTTAGGGGACTTCGTTTCAGGACTTACTGAAGGGAGTCTCTGTACTTGGGTGGTAGAGACAGGAGGATCAGTAGTAGTTCAAGGCTGTCCCCAGCCATGCAGGAGTTCTGGGCTACAAAACAAAGAAAAGAAGTGGGGTGGGGGTGGGGAGAATATATTTATGCAGGGTTTGTTCTTCCTTGCCCATGGCTGGGGTGTGTCCACGGGACGGGGGAGGGGTGAGAGCGTTCATGCCTGTCTGAGTAGGGAGGCTCCTGCCCCATCCTAGTTTGATAGGAGAGGCTCGGGTCCCTGCCTCTCATCTCAGAGCCCTGAGCAAACTGAAAAACTTCCATCTCTCGCCACAGTCTGAGGAAGAAAGATGGAGGCCTGCTCCCAGTCTTGAACCCCGGAGTGAGGCTTCTCTTAGCTTGACAGGATGCAAACACACCCCCTCAGAATCTGCCCCCGGAGCTGTGTGAAGGGGATGGGAAAGGCAGAGGGTCCAGTTCTGATTCACCAGCATGTCGCAGTTCCGGGTGCATGAATGACTAGCTCCTGACAGACATGGTGGTCAGATGGTCCATCACAGTGTAGGACCTGAAGTGTGTGAGAGCAGTTTTCTGGAAGGTGCCTCAGAAGGACTTTTGGGATTTCTCTTGGAGACTTCCCTGGACACAAAGGGCCCTGAGAACTCTATAGAATGCCCCTCCCCCAGCAGTTTTATGTCGCTGCTGTTCTCCTATCGCTGTGGCTGGAGCCAGGTGGTTCTGCAGAGCTTATGGTCAAGCTAGGCTTCCAGCTGTGGCTGCCTCTGGCCAGCTGGACCGAGGCTCTGATTTTTGCTCACTCACAGGGTCCACCCCTCAGAGTTCTCAGGTCAAGGCTTTCCTGGAGCAAGTCATTGGCAGTACTGACCAAGCCGGAGCTGGCTTCCACATTGCCTCTGCTACCGTCTACTGTTGACACCCGCCCTTTCTGTCGGCAAGTGTGGTGGCACAGAGCTGGGCTTTCTTAAAGATGGTTCCATTTTGTCTCCCACGGAGATATTTGCCCATGGACTGCCCCCACCTCTGGTAAACTTGTTTTATCTCTGGTAATCCTGTCTCCATGCCAAAGGTCACTGATGTCCCTGGGCTGACCACAGTTGATCCTTCCTGGACTCCCCACTGAGGCCCATCTTAAAGACTCCAGCCTCCCTCTTATGTGCTGCCAAGACTTGATTTCTTAGTGTAGGCCTTTAGTGAGTGCAGGAATAAGTTCTGTGGGGTGTCAAGGTAAAATTGGACAACATTCTCTCTCTCCCTCCATAATGGGACAAATGCAGAGATAGCAATGGGGGCTGAAGCCAATGTCTTAGGATGGGTGAGATCAGGAAACAGGGCAGGGACATTTTCATAGGCTCGTGCTCTGGAGAGAGGCCAGTGTAACTAAAACAGCCAACCTGGAAAGGGAGTGTGGGACCCTCACCATTGGGATAAGGCAGCAGGCTGCTACTCCACAGGCAGTTGGAAGGTGGGCTGGGCTCCAAATAGACCCACGAGATGATCCGCACTGGGCTTCCTTATGTGTGTTTATGTATTACCTGTGTGTGTATGTCTCTGGATAGCATGGCATGCAGGTAGAGGTCAGAGGACAACTTCCGTCATGTGGATCCCAGGGATCAAACTTGAGTCGCCAGGCCTGGTAGCAAGTGCCTTTACCCACTGAGCCATTTTGTTGGCCCTGAGCCGGGCTTTCTTAAAGATCACTGTTAGGGACCCAGCTGCAGGACAGAACTGAGCCCCTTTAGCCCATCCAGGCCTTCATAGAAAATAGAGGTTGGTCATTTCGAATGCCAAGAAATGGACATGATGGCCAATGTTCTCCATCCTCAGGAAGCAAAAGGCTCACTAACTGTCACCCCTCTACAATGGCTGAGGAAACTGAGGCGCACTGTGCCTAAGTCCTTCGTGGCTCTCCGTGCTAAGGAAGTCCTACAGCTGCCTTTCCCTTTTTCTTTTAAATTGCATTATTTCTTTGCTTGTTTCTTTATTCCGTGTATGTGGTCCTTTCACCATGTGGGCTCAGGGTCATCAGGTTGGCTGCTGTGTTATCTCACCTGCCCTGTGACTGCCTGTTTTCCTGAGGGTCTGAGCTCTGCTCCAGCCCCTCAGGTTCCAGTGAGGACGCTGGCTTCCTGGAACTGCTTGAGTTGCTGAGTTGGCCTTCTTGGGCAGCAGCTGCCTCCAACCCAGCGTCCAGCAGTGACAGCCTGGTTAGCCCCCAGACCACCCACGGTATGGTGACTCATGCTCTAGGGAGACACTTGTAAACAAAGCCTTGGAGAAGGCTGGGAACCTGGTCCCTGCTGGCCCTAGGAAATGAGGTAGGATTTACTGTCCCCAAACAGAAGCTCAGGCAGCCTGCGCCCTGAGGGGACACCTGAAATGGACTAGGTTTTTGAAGAAGGGTTAGCACCTCCATTGGGTTCTTTTCATGGAGCACATCGCCCCTATCTCTGCTCTTGCTCTGCCCCTATCTTTGGGTATATAGGAGGTCTAGGGGTGTGGGGAGCGGTGGCAGTTGTTAGTACCTTGTGTCCTTGTCTCAAGTGAATCAGTGTGAGGTTCAGAGAGGGAGTATGAGGGGCCTGAGGTCACACATCATGTGCACACTTAATTCATCTCTACAGAGTTGCCAGGGCTATAAACCTGTTAGTCCCTGACCCAGCTCCCCTCCACCCTACAGTCTTCCTACACATGGCAAGGGCCTAAACTCCAGCTGCCTCTGGCTGTAGCTGCCTTATGCTAAGTGACCTTGGGGCAAGTGACTTAGCATCTAGTTTGGTTCCCTCATCTGTAGAGGTGGACTTGGCTAGTCCTGGGAACGGTGAGGGGACGGGAATTTGTGCTGGTGGCACTCAGAACCAGCACACATTGAGGCTTCAGTGGCATTACCAGGGAATCTGAATGGCAGTCCCAGAAAAAGCTGGGCTTGGATATTCAGCAGGTGGGAGGGTTTGAAGCTAGATCTGTCGCTTTCTGGTGACCTGGCCAGTCAGTCATCTATGGCTTCATATGCCTAGTCATGAACATCCAAGCCCCTGTTTCTCCTTCAATCCAGTCTCTACCCAGAAAGCCAAGGTTCCACCAACAAGTGAAGTGTGCTTCCTCCATGGTACAGGGCTGCCTCCCTTCCCTAAGGATGGAGGTCAGCCTTTACAGTGGTGCGCGCACACACACACACACACACATGCGCACACACACACACACACACACACACACACCAGCTGCTGCATCCTTCTCAGGCTCTGGCAAGTCCATTATCATCTCTCCAGCCAGTGTACCCCATCCATGTTCTGACCATCATGATTCCACGCATCTCCCTTCCCCGATGGACAAGGCCCAGTCCTGGGCACAGGGACAGCTCCGGGATGTTTATGGGATGAAAGGGTCACAAGGAACATGGACGTGGGAGTGTTTGATAAACTTTTAGGGGACCACGCAGCCTCCAGAGTGGTCTGTTTATTAGGACGGTGTGACAGCCCCCAGCTGGCTTTTCCTATAGTCACTGAGCCTACTCACCCTACCCCAGGTCAGGGACTCAGGACATGCATCCGTGGAATTCCTAGACGTCCATGGAGATGGGAGTCCATTGGTGATCTAGAATGCAGGTTGGGGCGTGCCAGTACTGGGAAGGTTCCCCCAGAGTGCCTCTGAGAGGCTGAGGACCAGAGAGAGAGATGTGCTCACCAGAGCCGCATAGCAGGGCAGTGGCAGATGGAAGCCAAACGTGGATCACCTTCAGGTGGGCCAGCACGGATGTAAACAGGGCTTGGACCAGAGAGGAAGGCAAGAAGGCAGAGCAGGTGTTTGAGTTTTACTTTGGTAAGATGTATGTAACAAAACTTAACGTGTGTGTGTGTGTGTGTGTGTGTGTGTGTGTGTCCCTGCGTGTGTGAGAACATGCACATGCATGTCTATGCATGTCTGTGGTATCAGTGTGTGCATGTGTACATATGTGTGTGCGCGCCTTTATAAGCGTGTGCACATGTACACATGTGAGATTGTGCACGCATGTGCCCACGCCCTCATGCACGTGTGTGCGTGTGCTGTGCACGTGCGCTGCCAGGTGTGCACATAGATTGTGGTGGAGCACAGAAGTCAACCTCAGGGTCACTTTATTTTTAAGTTAAACATGGAAATTCAACTTATCACCACTGTGTGTGTGTGTGTGTGTGTGTGTGTGTGCGCGCGCGCGCGCGCGTGCACAAGCTGTGCTGTCCATGGAGGGCATGCGAAGGTCAGAGGGCAACACTGTGGAGCTGGTTCTTGGTTCTCAGATTTTGTTGTTGTTTTGCTTTGTTTTTCAAGCCTTGGCAGATCTGAGTTCAAGGCCAGCCCGGTCTACAGATTGAGTTCCAGGACAGCCTGGGCTACACTGAGAAACCCTGTCTCCAAAAAGAAAAAGAGAAATAAAGGCAGCGGAGCAGGCCAGCAGGCAGCACTCCTCCTTGGCCTCCGTGTCAGTCCCTGCCTCAGTTTCTGCTTTGAGTTCCCGCTCTGGCTTCACCGGTGGACCATGAGGTGAAGTGTAAGCCAAGTAAATTCTTTCCTCTCCAGGTTGCTTTTGGTCATGGTGCTTTATCATAAATAGAAAGCAGATGAGGACATCAGCCCTGTCTTGGTTTTCGAGACAGGGTCTCTCACTGGGACCTGGGGCTTGAAGACAAGACTAGAATGGCTGAAGGTAAGCCTCATCCACCTGTTCCTGCCTCCCCAGATCCGGGATACAAGTGTGCCCACCATGCCCACCGGTCT